AAAGAGCACGGCCTAGCACTGTTTTATTGGCTTACTGAGGCTACCAGTAAACCGGAGAATAAGCCTCTTATTCTTTGGCTCAATGGAGGTTAGTTTTCTGCCCACACCTTATTCTCGATAAATTTAAATGGAATACGTAAAACATTTTTTGTTCTTCGGTATAACCAGTTAAAACAAGTTTAAAGAAGATAGACTTGTGATATTCTATCCGATGTCTTCTTAATACAGTTGAGTCGAGTGTACCAAACACTTGAGCCATTTCATTACAGTAATTACTTCTTTTTACTTATGCATTATTCCATTCCCCAGTCATAAGCAAATTACTAAACCCTAAACTGCATCCAGTTGCATTCCACCAGTCATAAGCAAATATTTTTTGAGCCTTTTTTTTTTTTTTTTTTTTTGACAAATGGATTTATAGTTGTTGAGATGACAGCACTTCATTGACTTTTTAACTTCTTTTTTTTTTTTAATCCAAAATCCAATGAACTCTTGCTACCTGTCATTCTATAAAACAGTTTGTAAAAACAGCATGGACATGTAGCATTTATCTATTCCTTTTTCTTCTCCTTCTAAACTTGAAATTCGTAGGAAATGTTACTTGTACAGTTTACCACTTGGTTTACAAAATTCTAAGTTGACAAGATTTCACAACATTTTGGACAAAAATCAAAATTAAACTAGCTTGTGAAATTTTACCAACTCAACACCTATAACTTCATCCATTAAAAAAAAGCTGTACAGGTAGCAATTTTTTTAAATTCCTTCCCTTGACAAAATTGCTTAGATGAGTGACCGCCTTTTATATGATCACCTCGTGGCTCTCCTTTGCCTTCCCACTCTTTGTGTATATAATCAAATGCGTCCTTGGCATAATAATAACCCATTTTTTTATATTTCACACATTTTTGAAAATTGAATGAAAATGGATATAAAATTTAATAATTTGAGGTGCTAGAATTAGTACATACAATTAGGTAAAAGGGAGAAAACTTGATAAATGCACGATTGTTCAGAAACTAAGATGGGAGCAAGACAGTGATGATGATGTGAACTACATGTCTGAACCAAACTGAACAAGAATTTAATGGAAACAATTTATTTGTTAAGTTTTTTAAGTTAGAAAAATATATATGGGCTGTCTTATGCATTAATAATTGAAGACATCTATTCTGACACAAAAAAAAAAAAAGGAGAAAACTAATATCATTAGGGTTAAGCTTTTCATGTACATAAAAGTGTACAACAAGCACAACCCATATGATTATTATCTGATTTAATCCCTACGTAAAGGGAAAAGTTTCACAGGTGCCCTCACAGGCATCTCACTGTAAAGGCGGGACCCCCATGTGATTAAAAAAAAAAATTTGTTGAGACCCCACCTCAGTGTCTTAGTCTGACAGGGACCTGTTTCATACGTCCTTGTACTTGTAGAATCTAGCAGTAATATATCTTGGTTAGCCATATCAGACTCTTAAAACATGAACTCCTAAAAGAAAATATTATTTATTCGAAAGTTTGTCTACTCAATTGAATATTGTAATAATCAAGATTTTAACTTCTATTATTTTTAATATTGTTATTTTGCCTAGTGAGCATCTAAACACTAATAATAAATAAGATTTTAATTATTTTTTTTTACTGATGTCGTCATTTATACTGGACATACTATAAATTATTAAATTATGCTAGACAGTCTAATAAATAAGTTTTAATAGTTTTTTTTTTTAATTTTGCATCCTCTTTCCTGATCACACTATAAACAATATTGGATGGTGTACAGGGTCCGTTTGATTTGAAAAATAAAAAACTCGTTTGCCGGATTCATAATCTCTTAATTTCTTTTTCCATTTTTTGCATGGTTTTTTGGAGTTAATTTGCAAAACCCAGATATCCATTAATAATGCACTCACAAATTGCATCCTTCGTTTATTTCAACCCACGCGTGTACCAATGATTTCATTTTAATAAAATTAGTCCCAGTAATGACAACTGATAAGTGTATTTTATATATTTATTTAGACCATTAAAATTGAGTATTTGTTTAATGAATTTGATGGAATATGGCTTAATCCTATTTATATATTGTGTTTAGGTTATAATCAATGGAAGATACGAGAATAAAAAAAATAAACGGAAAAAACGACTCAATTACATAAAGGCAAAGTTTGGGGACTAGAATGCAATAATCCAAAAGTTGAATTGGACCAAAGAACGATGAGTTGAGAACAATAAATTTTGGGAAAGGACAAAAACACACTTCAGAAAGTTTAGGAACCAAATTGCAAATTGGCCCCTAAAATAATTGAACTGTGCGTATGCACGGTTGGAAAATTTAACTTTCGAAACTCAATTGAGGCTACTATGCGTACGCACCAAATGAACCATGCGTACGCATGGTTCAATTCCAACAAAAAAATTATGTTTCCTTATTTTGTTTTGGAAAGTCTTAGTTTACAATTCTTGGTACGATATTTATACCAAAAGTCGACAAAAAACACGAAAAAAAACCTATTTTTTATCATCTTAGAAGCGGACAAAGAGGAAAAGGAGAGCGGGATGTATATTGAAAAATAAGATTTCATCACTTGGATTCGGAATTGAAGGCATAAAGTGAAGGATTTCATATTCTTTTCATACTTTAATAATTTGGGTGATGTCGTTCTTTTATTTTTCCTGTTTTTCCTACAAAAATATGCTAGGCTAAATATCTTTGTATTGGATGGATGACAAAACTGATTGACTCTTAGTTTTTAATTCAAGACCTTATGTTTTTATCTTAATTCTTCTGTTGTGGTTTCTTTAATATGCATATCCATATTGTTTTAATGTTTGCACATCATTAGAACAATAGTTGCTTATTCGTAGTGTTGGAAAACTCACGGTAGGTAAAACACTGTTATTGGAACGCATGGAAAATGAATGTTAGGAATAATATTTGTGACGTGTGCGATCATGTGTGATAATCCTATACATCAATGCGTGTTTGCCATATAAATTCGGATTAGGAATAGGATCGTCTCGTGGTAATCATAAGTTTATTATATCTTGGGAAAGAATAATAAATAAAAGTGGAATTGTCGATCATCACAATTGCATGAGTTTAGATAATTGTCATAGGTTGAGAATTAGAACTAAGAGTTGATCAGTGGCGTTGGAAATTCAATACATTCACTCATTTGAATTCTAAAACAAATTCTCATCAATTTTGCAATTTTTAGTTATAGAACTTAATTAGATATTCAAACAAATTTCAACTTTTAGTTAATCACACGAATTTAATTATATCGAATACACTGGAATTAGACCTTATTCCCTATGGGACGATAACTCTTTCATCACAATTATTACTTGTACAATGAACTCGTACGCTTGCGGAATTTTGACGAACAAGCAACAGCAACCATCCAAATATTATTGTTAAACTATCACGTGATCATTAGATGTCCAAATTCACAAAGGCAAGTCTTCATTATCACTGCAGCTAATCTCAAATTTGAAGTGAATCATATTTCCACAATTTAACATCGAGAGCTGATTTCTATCTGAGATTAACTTACATGTTTGTCATAAATTATAATTGATTGTATACGTAAAAGTTCAAAATGTGATAAAATTAAAATTTGATCAAATTATAAATAATTATAAATTTTGACAAACATGGACGAATAATATAAAATTTCCATAATTTAGCTCGTTCGATAGAGATAGCAATAGATTGAATTATGTAATTGCGACTTTAACTTGCAAAGTACAAGGTTCAAATATAAGGATTTTTAGAAAATTTGTCTCTCTTAAAGCCCTGACATTCTTGAATTATGCAGGACCAGCTTGCTTATTAGTGGCTTAAGGTCCATCTGGAGAAATAAGTCCATTTCGGATTAATAAAACTGGTTCATCTCTATATCTGAATAAATAAATATTCATGGAATAAAGGTACAACCATAATTTGATTGCAGACTCATTACTTACTACTCACCACACACTGTATTTTTCAAGTGTTCATATAGTTAGTTTCATGCCTTAAGGAGGCAAATATTCTTTTTCTTGAATCGCCAGCTACCAACTCCAATCTCAAGGACTCCAGCGACAAAAGGACCGGTAAAAAACTGCAGTTTTTCTTAGTATGATTTACACAACTTTATAATGAATTACCAACCAGGGACGGACGACGTAAGTGAAAGCCCAGACCATAGCGGCTTTAGAGACTTCTCTCTTGACTTTAACGATGACGAAAACATTCTCCAAGAGGCTTTCCTTTCTTCTTTACTATGGTTTACCCCTTACGCAAGAGGCCAAACCAGCCCAGGTGGCGGCAGAAATAATAGATGGAATCCGTGATTGGAGACGATTTTTTCTAATTTCCAAAAGGTTAGGATGTCTACTTCCAAAATCAAACATTAGGAACGAAACTTTCGACTTTTGAAAAGGTTGGGAATAAACCAGCAATTTACCCAAAAAATGTACTAACGAATTGCAGTTTTAACTTAGGAAACATTAAAGCGTAATATTATTAGTCATTTATATACAATTAAGATGAGAAATCAATTAATATCGAAACTGCGGAGGATAAGCAATCTAAAGGAATAGCATGACACTAAGAAAATATGTGTAACGTTGTACTTTGTAAATTTGTATTATTACTTTGATAAAGTGATACTTCAATACATACCATGAGTTCTATAAATGACATGGTTTTGTCAATTTATTGTGGGAAAAAAATACACTTGTTCCTGCACTTGTTCTTTCTTTATAAATGCCTATATAAACTGGGTAATGACTACAATCAACAAACTATAATGTCATTTTCTTTTGTAAATAATAGAACGGAAAAAAAATAAAAATAAACAAAAGGGCTTCCCCGAGCGATCTTATTCTTACATACGCTACTAGAAGACATCGTTTTGTTACTGGAATTGTTTATTCTATACTTACATTGTTAAAAATGTTCGGAAGTATACCCTTCAAACTTAAATTTCATACATCTCGCCCAAATCAGCAGGTCAAATTAGTTATGCACATTCAATAAACTTCACAAATTTCTGACAAGAAATACAATGATACATCACAGACAGAAAGGTACTCAAGATGTGTCGACTTACATTTGAAGATATTGCAAGAGTTAGTTAAACAGTTTAGCAAAAATATCTGGTTTTAGTTTTTGGAGAAAGGAAACCTGACCCAATTGCCTACTCAAATCCCCGATTATGCGATCCATATATAGAATGTATAGTGCATTCCTGCTCTCCAAGAGCTCCAGGACTTTCCGAGAGTGACAAAGAGATGTCACCCATTCTTCCAAAAGCTCTACATGGTAACACCATACCAAGTTAATTTGATACCCAGTGTCTAGTACAACTAAAATTTTGATGAACAAGAATGACGCAAGATATTGGTTCCAAATCAAATTTTGCTAGTAGTCTTATACAGATTATCAATAATATGATTGTTGCAATTACTGTACTGTCATGAGAATGAGTTAAGGAAATAACCAACGCAAAAAAAAGCGAAACACGTACTCAAGTCGAAGGCTTCGTCCTTTGACCAAGTTAGCAAGTTGTCCGAAACCAGAAACTCAATAAGCTGGATCCTGCCATATACATTACAATTGTGTTAAGATAAACCTGAGAAATGCCAAATGATAAGTCACTCAATTTTTCACCTTTTTTTTATTTTTTATTTTTTGTGTTTGCATCAAATTGTACGCACGTGAAGGCACTATGAGACTGAATGACAAACATATTTTATCATCCAAAAGGAACTGAAAATAATTAGTGTGAAGACATGAATTGCAAAAGTGCTACCCCATGCGATAGCCTGTAAACAAATTACCAAAGAAAGAAAAAAATTTAAAAATATTTTGATAAAATTTGTATTTTACCAACACATTAGCGTTGTATTGAAGATAAAATATAACACACATAATACTCCCATGACAGCTCAAACAACTGAATAAGGCAGTTAACATGCAAATCACCCGCTTTTCAGAAAATGATGTTAAGATACCAACCAAATTGTTGTAATTTTTTTTACCTATTCAACGACTGAATTTTAAAATTCAACCATGTAATTTAGGAAATTCCAAATGGATAAATAATAGCTGGAGAATTTGCGATATATGAACAAGCAAACACAATTGGCGACATAACTTCAGACAATGAACCCAGGAGTCCCAAGTTGTAGAAAAGATGTCAAGCTTCATAGACGTCAAAAGCTCCAAATATTTAGGACAAAAAGAATGCTAGAATCTATGCGATAAGATTATTATTAATGGAATCACACACTGTTCTTCACTACTAGAAATGACAAGTAGATGTAAAAGGAGGACGTGATTA